GCGCTCGGGGACCATTCCTTGCGCACCCCTGGTGGTGTCGAGAATATGCCGTGCCTGCCACGCCCTGCGCCATGGCGCGCATAGACGCCGCGCTCGGAGACCACCCCCTGCGCACCCCCTACGGGGTGAGGAAAGTGCCACACCTGCCACGCCCTGCGCCATGGCCCGCATAGACGCCGCACTCGGAGACCACCCCCTGCGCACCCCCTACGAGGTCGAGAAAGTGCCACACCTGCCACGCCCTGCGCCATGGCCCGCATAGACGCCGCGCTCGGAGACCACCCCCTGCGCACCCCCTGCGAGGTCGAGAACGTGCAACACCTGCCACGCCCTGCGCCATGGCCCGCATAGACGCCGCGCTCGGAGACCACCCCCTGCGCACCCCCTACGGGGTGAGGAAAGCGCCACACCTGCCACGCCCTGCGCCATGGCCCGCATAGCCGCCGCGCTCGGAGACCACCCCCTGCGCACCCCCTACGAGGTCGAGAAAGTGCCACACCTGCCACGCCCTGCGCCATGGCCCGCATAGACGCCGCGCTCGGAGACCACCCCCTGCGCACCCCCTACGGGGTGAGGAAAGTGCCACACCTGCCACGCCCTGCGCCATGGCCCGCATAGACGCCGCGCTCGGAGACCACCCCCTGCGCACCCCCTACGAGGTCGAGAAAGTGCCACACCTGCCACGCCCTGCGCCATGGCCCGCATAGACGCCGCGCTCGGAGACCACCCCCTGCGCACCCCCTACGAGGTCGAGAAAGTGCCACACCTGCCACGCCCTGCGCCATGGCCCGCATAGACGCCGCGCTCGGAGACCACCCCCTGCGCACCCCCTACGAGGTCGAGAAAGTGCCACACCTGCCACGCCCTGCGCCATGGCCCGCATAGACGCCGCGCTCGGAGACCACCCCCTGCGCACCCCCTACGAGGTCGAGAAAGTGCCACACCTGCCACGCCCTGCGCCATGGCCCGCATAGACGCCGCGCTCGGAGGCCACCCCCTGCGCACCCCCTACGGGGTGAGGAAAGTGCCACACCTGCCACGCCCTGCGCCATGGCCCGCATAGACGCCGCGCTCGGAGACCACCCCCTGCGCACCCCCTACGGGGTGAGGAATGTGCCACACCTGCCACGCCCTGCGCCATGGCCTGCTGTGCTGTGCTGTGCAGTGCTGCGCTGTGTTATGCTGTGCTGCTTGAGAAGGAGAGGGGGCAGGGAGGGAGGTGAGACGCGGGTGCGGCGCGGGTGGGAAGAAAACCAGAACCCCACGAAGCATGTGGGGAATACATCATCAACACCAAGCAATTCGGGGACGGCTTCTTCAACAAGGGTAAGTAAACAAGGACAAATAACCCAAGGAGAGCCTCTTCAAACACAATACGGCAACAATACCAAGCAGCCCGGACACATGTTTTTTTCACTGTGGGGACATGTTAGCCCGCGTGGACCGCAAACAATGATTTCTTGCGGGCCATGCAGTGCAGTCTAGATGGTGCAATCAACGTGGTGCAATCCAGGTGGTGCAATCCATGTGGTCCAATCTATGTGCAATGTACAGCAATTCAAAGCAACCCGAACTATTGAAACACAATGCGAACCAATGCGCATCAATGCAACGCAAAGCTAAGTAGTGTAATGCGATGCGATGCGATGCAAAGTCACGCAATGCAATGCAAAACAACGAAATGGAATGTAAAGCGATGCGAAACAATGCGAAATAGTGTAATGCGCTGCAAAGATATGCAAAGCCGTGCAACGCAAGCCGTTGCAAACCAATCCAAAACAAAACAAAGCAATGCAACGCAATGCGGAATACCAGCCTCGAGAACACAAACTCTGATTGAAGACATCGGCGGCGGGCGGCCACATGCCGGCAGGATCGGTACTCAGGCCGAGTTCCTTTTTTGAAAAAAAAGATCTCCTACGAACAAGTACTGTTTGGGGGACAAGACCAAGCAACTTGGGAAAAGGCCTCTTCACAAATAATGAGCAACCAAGGCCAAGCAACCAGAAGAAGGCCCCTTCAGAATGAGTAAGAACATCAAACCTAAGCAATTCGGGGGCGGCCCCCTCAAACACAATAAAGAAACAAGACCAAACAACCCAGGGAAGGCGTCTGCAGAAACATATGAGAATCATGACCAAGGAAAACCAGCGAGCCGGGCCTCCTACCCACATGTGTTTTTTAGGCAACGCCTGATACCGCCAGCCTTTTAGGTCGCGAGTGGTATAAAACGTTTCTTCTTTCAACCTCCTTCTTTCTCATCGGAGGGTCTTACCTCTGCTACATATTAACAAACACGCCTTCCTGTGCCAAGGACGAGAACCACATGCTGGACGCCGCCTCGCGAGATCTCCTGGGGCCTCTTGGGAAGCGCCCTGGGGTTTCCAGGGGCCTCCTGGGGCCCCCAGGGACTCTTTGGGTCTCCTGGGGCCTGTTGGGGTTTCTGATGGTTTCTTGGCACCTCCAAGGATATCCTGAGGCCAACAAGATGATGCTCCAGGAGTTTCTTGGGGTATACTGGGACTTTCATTGGTGCCTGGAGCTCGTAGCGCGCGTACTGTACTTTCCTGTCTTTGGCGCAACTACATGTCCAAGCATGCCGATTGATATAGCATACACGTGGCACACATGATCGTTTATGTGAATACAATTGAGACTGTATGAATGTATGCATGCATGTATGTATGTATGTATTAATGTATGTATGTATGTATGTATGTATGTATGTATGTATATGTACTGTGCGTGTGTGTGTGTGTCCATGCGTGCACGTGTACACGTAATATATAGTATAACGTGGTATAATGTATAATTGCATAACGACGTGTGTATTTACCACGAGTACTACAACATGGTCCTACATGTAAAAACACGTAGTCTATGAAACTATGTGATACGTGGTATACATTGCATGTGTGTGTCGTGAAGGTATGTATATATATATATATACACATATATATATGTACACAACAACAGATGCCACAAACTAGTCGTTACGTAACAGCTCTGGTATGTGTATATATATACAGTGTATATGTATATATATATATATATATATATAGAGAGAGAGAGAGAGAGAGAGAGAGAGAGAGAGAGATCAGACGGCGAGGCGGGCACCCTGCCGTCTTATCGAGGCATTGCATGTTGCGGCAAAAGATTGGGGAGGTGCCGCGAGGGAAGAGCCGAGCCAGGACCGCGCCAAGGGGGAGAAGCCAGGCCCCCCACCCCCCGGCGCGCCCTGCAAAGCAAGCGCTGGCCTGCACGACGCGAGGGTCGCCCTTCCGTGCGCCGCTCGCAGGCGCGGCGCGACCGCGCCTGCAACCCCTGTGCGGTAGCGGGTCCTGCAAATGTTTTTTTGACCAGTGGTGTGGGTGGGTGGGGCAATGAAATCGCGCCTTTGCCGCGCACGCTTGCCACTGCGCTCGATCCACAGGGGGGCCGGGGTCTCCGCACTCTCCCAGGAGGCGCTGCGCGCGCGCGGCGCCCCCCGCCTTGCCGTCAGCCCCCTATGCCCTGGCCCGACCCAGCCCAGAGCCAGAGCAGAGGCGACCGACGGCGAGGCGGGCCCCCCCCCGTCTCATCGAGGCATTGCACGTTGCGGCAAAAGCTGAGGGAGGTGAAGCTGAGGGAGGTGCCGCGAGGGAAGTGCCGAGCCAGGGCCGCGCCAACGGGGGAGAGGCGTCGACGCGCGGCCGGCCCCCCCCCATTTGGCCCGTTCCCGGTCACGACCTGCCCTGCTGACTGAGTGCGCCCCCCCCAGCCCCTTGATTCTTCCCGGGGGTTGCGTCCCCGACCCCCTGCTCTCGCGCCAACCACTTTCCCCTGGCCCGCGGGCTCTGGGCGGGCAGGGGGGCGGGCGGGGAGAACCAACCGGGCGCGTTGGCCCTCCTGTGGCTTGTCTACGGGGTGCAAACGGCGCGTTCCCCCACGTCAGCCGCTTGTCCGGTCCGGCGCGGCTGGGCCCCCGGGCTCCGCCGATGAGATTTCATGACCTCGCCGCCCACCTGGGACGAAGCCTCATGGGCAGAAACTTTAAGAGGGAACGCCGCCGATTGGCCCCCTTTGCGCTCGCCCGCGGCCGCCGACGGGCTGCGTCTCCCGGTTGCGCCCAGCCCCCCCTGCCCCCCCCCCCGGCTCGTCTGATTCTTGGGCACGCTGCATGAAGCCGTTACTCGGCCCCGCGCGGGCCGCGGCGTTGGGGGGGGCTGAGGAAGCCGCGGGCGCATTGGCCTCAACGTCGGGGCGGTTGTCGCGACGCGCGAGGCGCCCCCCCCCCCCCCCCCCCCCCCCCCCCCCCCCTTACAGCGAAGGCAACTGCCCGCAGGGGGCCTCGCGCCGGATCTCCTGCGAGGGCCCGCGGCGCCCGAGGCCGAGGGGGAGCGACCGCGCCCGCTGCCATCGAGCTGCGCCAACCCGGACCTTGCCCGCACCTCGCCACCTGCGGCAGCTCTGGGCTGGCGCGGCTCGGCCCGCGGTCAGAGGAGGGTGGGCGCCTGGTATCTCTGGGCGAGCGCTTCATTATGACATCTCGACCGAGGGGCTGCGCCCCCGGGACCGGCCCCCGCCTTCCAAGCCAATTTCATTGTTTTTGTTCGAGCACCGCGGACCGAGACCGAGGAGGCCAGAGGGCGGGGGCGAGCCAGGAGGTCGGGGCCGACGCCGGGGGAAGCCGCCGGGCGCATTGGCCCTCCAACGGTGTTTTTTTTTGTTGCGAATTCCCCCTTTCCCCTGGCGCGCCTCGGCCCCTCGCCACCCAGAGGGCTTCGCCCCCCGTCTTGCCCAGGAGGGCCCAGGGGCCCCAGACGCGGAAAGCTGGGGGGAATGAGCCGAGGCGGCGCTCTTGACGGGGCGGTTCTGCGCCGGCCCTCCTTCAGAGGGGGATTCCTCTACTTCGACTGCTCTCGAAACTTCTCGCGCGGGCGCGCATTGGACTCCCGCCGCTCGGCCGCGCGCAGCCTCCGCGGCGAAGCGGGGGGGCGTGGGCGCCGTCGGCCGGCCGCTCACAGCGGCTCGGCACGCCGTCGGGGTCGTGCGTCGGCGCCTGCAGCCTCCAGCCCCAGCCTGCGCAGCGGGGCGGCCTGGCGTCGCTCCTTGGCACTGGCGATGCTGACCTCGTAGAACCCGATGGCGACGTCGTTTTCCTCGACCCACGCGGCGTCTGGCGCGGGCGCGCGCGGCCACCGCCGCGCGGCGGCTGCGCGGGCGCTGCCGGCGCCCTTGATGATGGCCGCCGCAGTGCACCTCACGGCCCCGGTCGGCGCGCGGGGCCACGACGCCTTGCGCAGGCCGACGGTCGCGGCGCTCTGGCCGCTGGCGTGCGGCCGCGCGGCGAGGCAGAGCAGCCGCAGCAGGTCTGCGTGGAATTGCGTGGCCGCGGCCACAGCGCCGGCCCGCCTGGCGCCTGGTGCGGGCCCAGCCCAGAGTGATCTGCTCGTCGCCCGCGTCGAAGGAGATGGCGCCGAGCTGCGCGGCGAGGGTGCCGGCGTCTACTGCCTTCAGGCGAAGCGCGGTGCGCGCTCGGTGGCTGCGGTCGTTGTGCTTCCGATCCTCCTGAGCGGCTGAGGCTGCCGTTGCCCGGGCGTCGGCGTCCATGTGGAAGGGCGCTGGAAAACTGGGCTCGGCCGCCTGGAGGTGGTAGCGCCGCGCGAGGGCCGCGGCCTCGGCCCGCTTGTCGGGCCCGTCGGGTCCGGAGAAGGAGTCCGCGGGATTGCTGTCCGACGCGACCCACTCGATCCAGAGTTCTGTGCCGAGGACGTCGAGCAGGGGCCAGATGGCGCCGACCATGGCCACGCTGTCGTCGTCGGCCGCCGCGCCGCGGCGGATGTTCTCCAGGGCGGGAGTGTTGTCTTCGAACAGGACCAGCCTGGCGCCGCGCACTACCTCGGGGCACGACAGCAGCAGGACGAGCACGGCGAGCAGCTCGGACTGGGTGTTCCGCTGTTTCTTCCCGACCTCGAGGAGCTCTGCGCAGAGGCGCGGCGGGATGTGCGCGGAGAAACTGTGGCCACCGCTTATTGGAGACAACCGCATGCCCCCGATGGTGCCTGACCCGGCTTCCATGTCCCGGGACCCAGCGACCCATCCGACGACGACGGGGCGGTCCGCGCCGTGGACGCGCTTGTGGTACAGCGGGCACTGTAGAAGTGATTTCCACCGGGACAGCGCGCGAGCGAGGCGGCGAGACCAGCCTCCGGCGTGCGCCGACACTGGGGAGGCGCAGGCGCGGCCAACGCGGCCGAACATCGCCGAGGTGGCGAAGCCCAGTTGGCCGCCCAGCCTGGCGGCGTCGCGCTTGCTGAGGCGCTGCGCACGGAGGGCGGCGCCCACGTCGTTGGACAGCGCGGCGCGGCGCTTGGCGGTGAGGCGCGGGCCCGCCCAGCGTGGGGCGGAGAGGACGTCCAGGCCTAGCAGGTCCAGCACGGCTGCTGGGCCCGGGTTCTTCCCCCCCTTCAGCGGGATCCCGAGAATGGTGTGCAGCTCCTGGAATGCCCATTCGTGGAGGGCGGCCCACCTGGCGGGCGAGGCTCGGTGGAAGTCGTCCACGTACGCGTTCCGCGGCACGCTGAAGATGCGCCGGAGGGGGTGGCTCACGCTGGCGGCGACTCGCGCAAGCCCCAACACGGCCCCGAAGCCGCCGAATGGCAGGGCTTTGTGCGCGTAGGCCCGGTAGCCGCCCGCGTGCCCGACGCTGTCGTCCCAGACGAGGCAGACCAGCAGGGGCGCGTCGTCGGGGTGCACCTGCCGTTGCCGGCATGCTTGGGCGTGGTCACCCTTTGCGATGAGCGGCACGCCGTCGGCGCCCCAGTCGCGGCAGGTCTCGGCGATGAAGGACACGGCGTCGAGGAGCGAGGCCAGGCCGGCCATGGGCATGCGCTCCTGGGTGGCGACAGCAAAGTTGAGGCCGCTCGCCGTCGCATCATCGATGGGGCGCACTTTGTAGGAGGTGGCGGAGCGGCCCTGGACGCGGGGGAAGCGGCGCGTCGGTAGCCGCTGGACAAAGGGCACAGTGGAGTTTACGCGCCCAGCGGCGTCGAGCCACACCTCCAACGGGCCGTCCAGCTTGCCCGCTGCGCATTCCTCCTGTGTGACTCGGAGCACTTCAGCCATGTCCGGCCCGCGCTTGGCGTTCTGGAGCATTTCCAGCAGCATGGCGCCCTTGGAATCGAGCGCGTGCTCGAGCGCGCGGTCCAGTGCAGCGGCGTCTGGGAGGTCGGTGCCGTCCACGTTCTCGAACAGCTGCGTGTCGGGCAGGACGCCCCGCATCCGAAATCCCGACATTATGTCGGCTCTGACATCGGTGTTCTCGTGCCCTGTTGCCAAAAGTAACTCTCGGCGTTGTATCCTGGCGGCAGCGCGCCGCGGACGCGGGTGGACTCGTTTCCAATTCTGAACCTGCCCGATGACCCACTGCTCGTAGTCGGGGCAATCGCGCGCCCAGAGCAGCGCACTGCGGATGGGGGCCGCCAGGGGTGCGGTCGGAGGCTCCGCCCACGCGGCCGATGGTTGGCCGTTCGCATGGTCCCACGCCTGGTCGCAGCCGTTGCGTTGCGGCTTTGCCGCATCGGCGGGGCGCGCCGAGGGGCCGGGGCGGCGCCGCTGCGGCGCACCCGTACCACAGGGGATAGTGTCCGGGTGCGGAAGCCCCGGGCGCCGCGCGATGCAGGGCGGCGGGGCATACTCTTTCTCGGTCGCCGGATCGCGGAGCCTGGCGGCACGTACGACCACGGTGGCGCCGCACCCGGCGGGGCGCCCTTACCACGGGGCCCGGTCGGCGTAGGGCGGCGGGGCAGTGGCGGGCGCACCGCGAGGGTCACGCGTGCCCGGCGCGGTCGTGGTGCGCGCGCCAGCGCCACTGCCTGGCGGAGGTGCGAGGGGCGGGGTGCGCGACCTTCCCTCGCGCGGCTGTCTGCGAGGGCCGTGCTGGCGAGGGCCGGGGTTGCCGGTGCGGCAAGCGCGGCCGTCGTGGGCACGTGCGCCGCTTGAGAGCTCACCGCTTGGGCTGAGCTGGCTGCGCTGCCGGCTGCGGTCCAGCTGCGATCGCGGCGAATGCGAGGGGCGTGGCCGGCGGCTGCACAGGCGCCGCGGTGGCGTGATATTAAGGGCGCCCGAAGCCCGCGTGGGCGCCCAGTCCAAGCTAAGCAGGTAACCGCTCTGCGCGTCGGCGGCCTGGAAATCCTCCGCCGCGCTTGCGGGGGCTAGTTTAGCGCGGCGGAACCATCAAGCGTCGCCGTACTTGCAGGTCCTCCCGTTGCTCAAATGCTAGCACAGGTCGCCCTTGGAGGCGCGCCGGGCGTGCTCTGCGGGCGGCGTGGGCTTGCCCTTGCCCTTGGGGGGCTGGGCCGGGGCGCTCGGGTAGCCGGCGGCGGCGGCCCGCTCGCGGCGCTCGCCACAGGTGCGGCGGGGGCGCTTTGGGTGGCTTTCGCCAGTCCCGTCGAGGGCGGCAGCTGCGTTGGATGAGATGGGGGCGGGCTGGCCGGCCTGACGCGGCGCGAGCGCGAGCCGGCCGTCCAGCTCGTCGGCGTCCGCTGGGAGGGAGCTGAGGGCGGTGCCGTCCAGCTTGTCGGCATTCCGGCTCGCCTTCGCCCACTGACCCTGGAAGAGGCAGAACGCGCGCTGCACCTCCGTAAGCGTGATGGGGCGGTAGCCAGGCACGGGCTGCCTGGAGCGTCGGACGCGACTCCAGAACCGCTCGTGGAAGGTCACCAGACAGTCGATGTCTTTGACCCAGCCGCAGAGGAAAAGCCGGTTCTCATTGAGGTAGCAGGCCTCCTCGAGTTCGACGAGGCAGCTGGCCGGCGCCTCGGAAATTGCGGGCATGCGCCAGGCGAGGACGCCGCCGACTCCAGGTTTGAGCTCGGCCGCGGCAGGCCGGGCGCGGGCCGCTGCGTCGGACTGGACCTTCGTGGCCGCGACGGCTTCGAACTCTTCGTTGACTCGGCGGAGGCGTCCCCACCGCCCCCACTTGATGGGTCTGGGGGTTGTCTGGATTCCAATCGATTGCAATGTGCTTTGCAATCGATTGCAATGTGCATTGCAATCGAACGCAAGGATTACAATCGATTGCAATCCCACCAATGTCCTCACAATCTACATAAGAAATTAATCACATTGCAGCGATTGCAATCGCTACAGGGATTTCTGATCGATTGCGCCGTAATCTGCCCCAGTCGAATGCAATGTCAATTGCAAACGCATTGCAATAATTAGCCCGCGCGATTGACAAAACATTAACTAATATATTAACTTATGAATAACTTATGATTAACTTATGATTAATTTTCTAAGGCAATGGTCGAGACTCGTGATGGGGGCGTTCAGCACCCCAGGGGCGCCCTTGCATCCCCGCATATCACGGTTCACCTTCGACGGTTGACACTTCAGAAAGGGGGGGGGGGGGTCGATTTGGGCGGCCGAGGGCCACGCATCCTTACCGCGCGTCCTCATGGGCCGATCGCGCTGCAGCGCCCCGCCTGCGCCCTCGCCCTCTCCGTAGGCGTCAGACGGCGGCCCAAGACTCATGGCGAAGCGCCCCAGAGTCGAGGTGGATATCGCCGAGAGGCACACGAATTTATCGCTGCGCCAGATTCAGCTTCTAGGCGAGGATTTCCGACGGTATTATGATGTGGATGCGTCGACCGAGAGCGGCGCCGGCCTCTCGTCGGCGCAGCGGGACCTGACCAGCTACACCAATGTTGACACGACTGCTGGCAAGCTGACGCATCGCGTCCCTGCGGCCCGTAACGACGGGGGGGCCGATATGCAGTGGCTCGTGGTGAACCCCTTTGCACTTCTTTACGAGAGGTGAGTTTGGGCCCAATATTTCCTCCTCGGCCTTTCTCCTCTCCCTCCTCCTTCCATCCTTCTCCCCCTCCTCATCCTCCACATGGCTTCGTTGTTCCCCGAACATGTGCTTGCGCCTGGGTCTCTCACTTCGTTTAGCCATCTGGCCCTTGCCGCGGGCGCTTCGCTCCCGCGCCCGCGCCGCCCGCGCAGATTGCACCGCGTAGATGCAGCCGCATGGGTTGCACAACATAGATAACACCACATATAGTGCAAAGCGTAGATAGCACCGCACCACACAGATGACACCACATAGATATCACCATATAGATTGCACCACATATATGGCACCACATAGATTGCACCACGTAAATTGCGCCACATAGGTTGCACCGCATAGATTGCACCACAAAGGTTGCACCATACAGGTTGCTAAAACACACCGTTTGGTGGTCACGCTGGTTAACATGTTGGGTTTGCCGATGTTGGTTTCGAATGTTTATCGCGCCAGTTCGGGGACCCCTGGGGCATCGTGTCGCCGCGGCTGGATCCGCCCGAAACCTCGGTCAACGCGCGTTCCCCAGGCGCAGAAGGTCTGGCCAATTTGCCGCCATGCTGCACGAGGCGACGGCGCGCGGCACGAGGCCACTCACGGTTGCCTTATACAGCGACGAGACGACGCCTGGGAGCGCCCTCAGGCCAGAGACGGATACAAGCCGTGCCCTCCAATGCATAGACTGGTCAATGTTAGAATGCCCCCACTGGTGGAGGGCGCGGCAACACGGGTGGATGGTTTTCGGGATGCTGAGGGTTGCCGTGCAGAAAAATGTATGTTCTGGGCTTTCCACTCTGATGCAGCAGATGTTCCACGTGTTCTTCGGGAGCCTGAGCCACGGCGCCGCGTCCGCGCCTGGCCCAGCAAGGGTTTTCACGATTAGATTCCAGATGGGCCCTCTCGTCCAAGATGAGAGGGCCCACAAGTACACGTGGAGCTTCAAGGGGTCAGGGGGACTTCGGCCTCGCCACTTGCAGGAATTGCACGAGCATCGGCCCGTCGCGGCTCAGGCCAGGCGATGGTTCAGTTAACTTCCAGTTGGGTGCATGCGCTGACTTCGTTCCTCAATCAGACGCCGACTCCTGGGAAATGGCGGATGGTCTCAAGCGGCAGAAGCCACTGCTAGGGGCTGGCGCTTTCAAGTCCCTCGAGAAAGCCTACGGCATCACGTGCGACGGTGAGAGTTTAGCCTACGACATCCCGCTTCGCAAATTCGTTAAGCCATGCTCCAGCACGGTGTTCGATTGGATGCATAACCTCCTCGCCAGCGGCGGCTCGTGCCAGTTCGAAATTAATATGTATGTGCACGCGCTTGGGGAGGAGGGCTGGGCGCCCCATATGATCGACTTGTTCAAGCGCCATGTGAACTGCCCAGCTGGCAAGCCTAAGGCACCCAACCTTTACTTCCAGTAACATGTCGTGGCGAAGTGGAACGGCGCCGTGCGCGGGTTCGCATCCACGACCTTGTCTGCGATCGCACCGTTGCTGGCGTTCACTACGTGCGTCGTCATTCCTGCCAACAGGGCGACTCTGCAGCGGCACGTGGACTCGTTCCTGCTCATGTGTGACATCATTGATTTGTTGACGTCGCCGTGCGCCGTGGAGCTGGCTGACCACCTCGGGCTCCTTGTTGATAGGCACCTATGTGCCTTTAGAGCTGCGCACGGGGCGGCCGAGGCCAAGCCGAAGAGCCACTACATGGACCACGTGGGCCCTGCCATGCGCAAGTGGAATGCGAACCTTTCGTGCTTCGCCATGGAGCGACGGCACCGCGTCGCCAAGTGCGTTGCCGATTATGGCCGAGGCCCCAAAAGGGAAGAGCATGTATTGTTGCGTTGCACCATGGACATGTTTGCCCCCGACGAGTTCGAATGCGTTGCCGAGCGCCCCCACAATCCAAAGCCACTGCCCGACCTTGGTATTGTAGGAGCGGTGTTGCGCTTCGTGCCTGATGTCTCACAGCACGGTATGCAGTATTCCACTATGATGAATGGTGTGATCGGCATGTTTGCCCAGCGTGATTTCGTTCTCATCCCCGCGCTTCGCACGCATGCCGCCAACAAAAAAAAACTGATAAAAGGGGGCCGGCGCGCATGAGTGGGGATGCGGGGGGGGGGGGGGGATGCGACGGGATAGAGGGCGAGGGGTGGGATTGAGGAGGGAGTGGTTGAGGAGAGTTGCGATGTCCTGTGCTATCCCAGGATGTCTTACCGTAGTCCTCTGGGCAGATCGGGCCCCTCAGCCGCGCGCCTGATCGCGCCTTCGGCGCAGTGCGGTTTCGGGAGGGACACGCCAACGTGTTTGGGAGAGCGTGTTACTTTTGTACGTGCGTGCGCCTGGCTAGCCACGAGCGCCCATGCGTCCTGATATATAGGAGTTACCGCCGCTCTGCGGCAAACCCGATGCGTTTCTTGCCTGATGACGGCGTGTCAATGTGCATGGCTTCTTGCGTAGTCCAGGCAGTGTATTGGCTACAGCATGACGATGGCGTTGCCCAGCCGCTGTTGCCGCGGATCCCTGGCCTAGCAGCGGCGTGACCTTGAAACGCAATAGCAACAATATCAATAACAGTAAACAATACCCGACATTGAAACACAATAGCACAATAACAATAACACATGGCAATAACACAACAACATACCCACAATAAAACAATAACAAGTACAACAAACAGTTGAAACACAAAACAATACCAAATCACGCCCAAGATATCCATCATTTTCTAAATGAGGAAAAGGAGGCGGGGGAGCGGCAACATGGCATGGCGACGACGGCGACGACGATGACACGGGGGTCGCGGCGAGCCGTCGACCTTCGCTAACAAGCGCAGAAGGCGCGTGCTCTCCAAGCAGTTCCCGAAGCGCGTTCTGACCAGGGTGCCCAGGCGAATCCAGCCGTGACGGCGAGGGCCTAGAGGAAGCCCCGAAAAGTTGGAGATCCCCAGCTTCGTCGCCCGACTCATCCTCCTCCCTGTCCTCCTCTGCATTCCCCTGCCCATATTCCCGTTCGCCCTCTCCCACCACCACCCCGCCCTCTCCTCTTCGTTTGCTTTCGTTGCCCCACCCCCCCCGTCCGCCCCGTTCGCGCGACTTGGCATGCAGCTCAGACGGTGCGCCGCGGCTGCATAGCCATTTTTGGCTCAGCATGGCGAGTGGCATATATTCGGGCCACAAGGATGACCTTGCTTTGCTCTACAATGAAGCTTTCCAGCTCGACGGCAAGATCACGTCCGCGGAGAAGACCATCATCAGGGAGGCCACGGGCTGCGAGGTCCAGCATCGCTCCAGGAGGGGCCAGCCGAAGACGCTGAAGATCACGGTCGGGGGTGGCCAAACTAACTTGCACCTTGCGTCGCCGACGCCCCCCCCATCACCCACTCGCAGCCGCTCGAACGATGGGCCAAGGAAGGGGGATGGGGGCGCGTTGCCGAGCAAGGGGCGGCTGGTTCGTCCACCCTCCCCAGGGCCCCAAAGGCATGGAGGCCCCCGCTGCATCCATGACGTGGGGCTTCTTGCGCAAGAACGGCATCGAGACAGAAGCCCTGGCTGCCCTGATCAGAGAGGCCTGCGCGCAGGCGCAGTCGGAGGCAGCGCGCAGATACTTGCTCAGCAATCTTGGCTGCAGTCCTACGCCCACCGCCGTTCCTGCCCACGATGACTGGGGCGTCCCCGACGCCTCGGGCGAGGGCAACGCCCGCGCGCATCAGGATGACAGCTCCTCCGCCGATGCCCACCGCGCGGTGCCTTCGGAGAGCTGCGCGCCCGCGTACGTCACCCCCCTGGCGGCGGCGAGGACCGACATCTCTGAGAGCCAGGGCTTTGACGACATCCCAAGGCTCGAAGAGGTGCTGCGGCAGGTCGCGAAGGAGCTCCGACAGCAGGCGCGGCAAGATGAGCACTTCTCTGAGCACGCTCGGGTGGCGTACTAGTTCGTCACTCTCGGCATCGGCTTGAGCGTTGTACACGTTGTGTGTGTGTGTGTGTGTGTGTTGTTTTGCGCGTGTGCAAACGCGCATGCGCTGCGGGTCCGACTGCGGGTGATGTTCCGAGTTGGCTTGTAGAAAACGCCAACGCGCGCTTCCCGCGAGGCCCGCGCCATTCCGCCGACCCCCAGATGGAGGCGACGCCAAGGCCACCCGACGCGCCCAGAGAGAGGGGGGGGGGCACCCCCCAGAAGGGGAGGTATCTATTTAAAAATAAATACCCCCCCCGCCCCCCCCCCCCCCCAGGTGGAGGCGACGCTAAGGCCATCCGACGCGCCCAGAAAGAGGGGGGCGCCACCCCCCAGAAGGGGGGGTAATTATTTAAAAAATAAATGCCCCCCCCTGGGGCGATAACCTGCGAGACAGGATCGCTCGAGCCTTGAGCCTCCTTGAGCCTTGAGCCAAGATATGGAGATATCGTGCTATCGTGATATCGTGCTATCGTGCCATGTGTGCCGCGATGCTTGGAAGAAGCTTGTGCCAAAACGACTACGGATGTCTGAAGGGGGCGCAGGTGGGGTCCTGAGAGGGCTCCAGGAGGGTTCCAAGAGCCCCCCCGACACCTTGTCACGAACAAGGCCCTTTTTCGTGACAAGGTGTCGGGCCCTCTTGGGGGGTCCTTGGAGCCCTGTGGGGGCCCTCTTAGAACCCTTTTGTGGCCCCAAGAGGGCTCCAAGAGAGCCCCAAGAGGGCTCCAGGGCTCCAGGGCTCCTCCTTCCTCGTGGGCCTCGCCCCGCTTTTCCCCTCCGCCCTCCCCTCCCCAGATTTCTGGGGATGTCTCGTCTCGCAAAATTCGCGACCGAGATTAATTAATCTCGGTCATAAATCGCTCGGGACTTTCGCGCACCCACGCGCGCGGTCGCAGCCCTGCGCCGCGGCCGTCTCGCTTCCGCGGGCGTCGGCGTCGGTGTGCCCTCCGCCCCTGCCGCCCGCCGGCCCGCCGCTGGCCCTGCCCCCGCCCGTGGGTGCGTCTGGGTTTTGAGGTTAGGATCGACGTTCCCTTCTTGCACAGAGTAGGTCCAGGACCTCCTGCGGGCAAAGGGGCCCGGCCGGAGAGAGTCCATCGGGCATGCGCCGCAGTACTTCAGCCTACGCTTCATCCCGAATGCCACGTTCCCGCTGGTCCATGGTCCGCACTCGCACAAAAAAAAGGGCTCCAGGAGGGTTTCAAGAGACCCTCAAGAGGGCCCGAACATGTCAAAAATTGACCTTGTGGTCTGCAGGGCGGACCGGCCTGGCCCCGTCAGACCACCCAGGGAAAAATTGCACGATGACTGGGCAATAGTAGGAAAGAGGGGGGAGGGGGGTTGCCGCTGCCGCTTCAGCTCGAGGTGTTTGGCGGCACGCCGCATCACCTAGACGAACTGCCTTGTGGCCCGATTCCTGTCGGTTGCAACTGCAACCTGTCTTTCCAAATTCCGCGATGTCCGACGTCGTGGCCACCTGCCCCGAGACCATCGGTGAGGATACGTTATTGTGCTGCACTTGCAAGCAGATGAAGCCCACCACGGAGAAGCAGAACGTGAGGAGCGAGGACATCATCTCTGGAACTTCCCAGCAGGCCAGGTACAAGCCCTGCGCGAACCTCAAGAAGCGCGTCGACCGCGTCACTGGCGGCGTGGGCTGCGACACGATCGCCAAGGCATTCTCCAACATAAATGCCGCGGACAAGGCCGTGTTCTACCAGGAGGCCGCCACGCTTTGCGGCGAGGATCTCAAGAAGAAGATGGCCACCGTGGCCACGAAGGTAGCATTCCACTCGGCGCGCATGAACTTCGATGCCAAAGGCGACTTCGTGAAGGTGACAGACCTGTGGGACGACGTCGAGAATGGGAAGCGCAAGAAGGCGGACGTCGAGACCATGATCGAGCACAGCCAGAAGTTTTTCTCGAACGAGTTCCAGTGCGAGATGGTGTGGGAGCCGAAGTACAACATGTGCCTTTCGACCAGCGCTGGCTCATCCACCGAGAGGAAGGCCACGATGGACAGCGAGCAGATCGCGAAGCCCCCGCCGAAGAAGCGCGCCAAGCAGCAGGCCGCCTTGGAGCCATCTGCTGCAGCCGCGCCTGCTGCTTTGAAGTCTGCTGTTCGAGCTGCGCCGCCCAGCCCGAACTCGAAGCCTCTGGCGAAGGCCATGGCGAAGCTCAACCAGGCCTCGCAGAGGATCGGCCAGTTCTCGGTCGCCCTCCAGGCCGCCATCATGGAGGCCAAGGCTCCAGATGCTGATGGCCTCGTGGCGAAGAAGATACTCGAGGCGGCGGAGAAGCTCAGCGACACTCTCATCGCGCAGAAGAAGCGCGTCGACGAGGCGATCGAGAAGGGCACGGGAAACCAGGAGACGCTGGAGGTGTTCGTGGATTCCATCAAGGGCGAGCTCCAGGACGCCAAGAAGCTCACGTTGCGGATCGACAAGGACTTGGATGAGCTTCAGGAGGGGGAGGAGGACGAGTCGTGAGGTTAGGCATAGGCTCCTGATGGCTCGCCACAGGTGCACTGGTGTGCCTCGCTCGCTGGCGCTCTGCTTCCCTGCCTGAGTGGTTTGACCATGCCTTGCTAGCGTGCGGGTTGCTGGCAGGCGGTCAGGCAGGCCGATTGCGTGAGCACCAGCAAGCCCTTCCCGAAGCAGGCCCTCCACGTTTTGGTTTACGCCAGACTGTTTTCGCGCGCGCGAGACGCGCGGCTCGCAAACTTGAGTGCAGTGAAACAAATCCAAGCCACCGTGTTTCTTCCCAACAGTGCTCCACCCAGCTTCGAACCTAGATCCTCGAAGGGCCCTCGACGTTCGAACCTCGACGTGAAGCTCGGCCACAAAAAACTTGACCCTCGGGGCGAGCTCCGTCCCACAAGATGTTACCTGGGGACGGCGACGGCGACGGCGACGACGACTACGACGGCGACTGTAGGCTGGTGACGCCGAGGACGCTTCAGGGATGTATGAGGGACGCCTGAGGGACGCCTGAGGGACGTCTGAGGGACGCGTCCCTCAAGCATCCCTCAGGCGTCCCTCAGACGTCCCGCAGGCGTCCCTCATGCGCCCCTCAGGCGTTTCGCACACGTCTCTCAGGCGCTCCTCAGGCGTCTGTAGGCTGGTGACGCCGAAGACGCTTCAGGGATGTCTGAGGGACGCCTGAGGGACGTCTGAGGGACGCGTCCCTCAAGCGTCCCTCAGGCGTCCCTCAGACGTCCCGCAGGCGTCCCTCAGGCGTCCCTCAGGCGTTTCGCTGACGTTTCCCAGGCGCTCCTCAGGCGTCTGTAGGCTGGTGACGCCGAGTACGCTTCAGGGATGTCTGAGGGACGTCTGAGGGACGCCTGAGGGACGTCTGAGGGACGCGTCCCTCAAGCGTCCCTCAGGCGTCCCCCAGACGTCCCGCCGGCATCCCTCATGCGTCCCTCAAGCGTTTCGCAGACGTCTCTCAGGCGCTCCCCAGGCGTCTGTAGGCTGGTGACGCCGAGGACGCTTCAGGGATGTCTGAGGGACACCTGAGGGACGCCTGAGGGACGTCTGAGGGACGCGTCCCTCAAGCATCCCTCAGGCGTCCCTCAGACGTCCCGCAGGCGTCCCTCATGCGTCCATCATACGTACACACGTGCACACCGAAATTGAGAGCCAGGCTTGAACCTATGAGATCTCGGAGCGTGCCCCAAGTCAGGTATATCAATTTACTCTTCTCCTGGGGGGCAGGCGGGGGTAGAGCGAGAACCCTAAACAATACAGTGGCAAAGACCGAATGCCCGACACAGCATCAGCAAGCGAGAGCGCCAGCTCGACCTACCCTTAAGTTACGATATGAGGCGGCTATCTATACATGTTAAGTGGTTGTGTAAAAGTGTGTTTAACAACGCGTATTTCGCAGACGTCTCTCAGGTGTTCCTCAGGCGTCACTCACTCAGGCGTCCCTCAGGCGTCCCTCAGGCGTCCCTCAAGCGTCCCTCAGGCGTCCCTGCGGTGGCGGCCGTCGCCACCGCATCGCCCTTTCCCCTCGTAATCCTCCTTATCTCCCTCGCCCGTCCTCCATCATGCCTCCGCCACCCCTCCTCTCAATCCTCCATCTTCCGCCACCCCTCCACCATCTTCCTCAATCCTCAATCCTCAATCCTCAATCCTCCGTCTTCCCTCCTCAATCCTCCTTCTTCCTCAATCCTCAATCCTCCATCTTCCATCTTCCATCATGCCTCCGCCACCCCACCCACCTCAGGCTCAAAGTCCGAGGGTTCGCCCCGACCTGCCTGCGCGGTTGTTGCGCAACTTTCTTTTCGGACAATATGCCTCCCATCACGGGAGCTGCGTTCCTGGCCTCGCTCCAAGGCCACGTGGACCTCTGCAACGCCATGACCTCGGCTGGTGGTGACCAGCTCCCGCCTAGGCTCTGGGGGGCCCGCGGGGGGCGTCCACGGTGATGATGGGAACCCGCGGAACTCTTCCAACTTTTGTAAACGAATGTGCGCGGCGCTATGGCGAGAACCACACGTTGAAAGCGAGCCGCACTCAATCCTCGAGACACCTGCAAACTTTTGGAACGAGTGCGCGCCCGTGAAGCTCGCGGGAAGCGTTCGAAAAGAACGTGCGCCGCGCTGGAGCGAGAGCCGCACTTTAAGAACGACCCGCCCTCACTCCGTGGAGTCAGGGCATACCACCCCCCTGCATGCCCAGTCACTTCCCCCCCCATCACTGGTAGGTTCGACGCCGTCATGCAGGACTGGCAGTCCGTGGTCGGCATGACGGCAGCCGACGCGACAACGTGTCTCAGGCGACTCCACAAACGGGCAAATGATGCATGGGCAGTGGGAAACCCATGCGCGGGAGCACCACGCAATCCAGACATCCAGGGCATCGCTGGGCCCTCTTGGGCCCTCTTGGAGCCCCATAACACAACTACCACAAGACACCAAACTACCACATCCAGAAACTACCATAAGACACCAACCTACAGACTAAAACCTGAGGC